TTACATTTCAGCATGGGCCAATGAAGTGGACCCCCGGAAGGCATGTCAGTTGTTCAGAGAGGAACTGCTGGAACGTAACTATGAATGTCCACGCCTCTTTCTGTCAATCGACTTGTTTGACGCAGAAGAAGAAACAGACAGTTCATTGATTTCATTCTTTAAAATGAACAATGTTAACTGGGCAGCTCCATTGAAGTGCAGGCTGAGAGGTATTAATAAAAAGTGTAACTTCTCATGTTTCATTATAGGTTGTCATCTGGGTCGAATTTTGCCTTTTTGTTTGTTTTTACTTGCATGTTGAGGATTAAGTTCATGTCCCTTAGACCAGGGAAGAAAGAACTAGTTACATTTATTGTATTGAAAGCTTGAAGGATGATTCATGTTGTCTCTTGGTAAGTGTATGTTGAATATCATCTTGTTGGTTGTACTTTTCTAAATGAGGTCGTCTTTTCAAGGGGATGCAGCAGTCGGCCAAGGTGTCAACCGACACGTTTTGTCAATGGCCATGCAGAAACTGAAGACCGGCTTCAGTATAAATGTAGGTGGGATGTCCCCATTTGTCTTTCAATTGAAATAACCACTTGCAGCTAAATCTTAATAAACCAACAAAGATTACAACATGCATATTCACAGTTGAACCAACACTCAATATAGCTTGACCTAAAAATTACGTTATAGCAATACATGGTGTCTAAACTATTTCTCCTTTTTTCTTAAGGCTGTGCAGCTCTTACAAGCCTTTTTGAAGGCGAAATGGAACATCGGGTTCCCTCCGCAGCTGCTGTGCTTCGGGAAAGCAACCTGTTTGAGATGGCAGGTCGGATGATAGGCCATTCCTTCCTGCATGGTGGTTTTGGTTTCTCAGGACTAAGTGTGCCTGTAGTGACTCTGTTGACTGGTGGGAGCACGGATACTGCAGCATCAGCGCTTACCCTGCTGGACTGTCCTGATCTTGACCACCGTGAAACAATTGGTTTTGTGAGTGTCCTAGTTAAAAAGTGACATGTCATACACCACTGCACCACAATGCTAACATACACTTGTCATCTTGTGCATTATGAAAAAGATTCCATTCATGCGTCAAGGCTGGGCTGTTTAGCTAGAAATGATTTCCAATGCTTTTTTGTGTCCCATTTTGATTTTTCCAGATTTAGGCTTTTTGTCCACTTTTGCATGCATTTAAATGATGTCCTCTTTTCTCCTGTTTTAGCTCAAGAATACACAACTTACTGCTCAAGAAACCACCAGTGTGACTGATCTTTGCCTGTCCTGGGACCTCCCTGTTCCAACCTCCACCAATCATGACTGGCTGTTCCAGGAACTTCTTTCCCATGCAGTAATCATTTTATATTGTACCATTTTTATTTAAACAATACAATACAATGTTTAGGTAATTAGTAGGTTTGCTTTGTAAGTCCTCCTGTATCTGCTACTGTGGTGTTTTTCCATTAGTGCCTCAGTTTGATTGTTCCTTTTACTTGTAGGTACTTCACCGTGTTAGGCAGCCTATCAAGCAGATTCGCAAAGGCCTTAAAGAAACGGGAATCTGGCCGCTTGTTTCAAATAGGCCAGATGTCCACCCCATATTATTTCCAAGAGAGAAAAATGATGAGCTGAACTCACAGGTAAGTACCATTTTCTTTATTGGTTTTATGTTATTCATGGGATTTGTTTGCAAACACTATCATGCAATTTCATTTGTGGGGCTCTTAAACTGGTGTGTAGATCTTAAATCAATGCTTTACAATGTTAAGATAATTCTGTAGCATATAACATGAGCTTCAATCTTAGCAAAGAACACGTTTGTATTTGATCCCCTATAGACTGTGATCCAGAACATCCACTGGCCACAGCCCAAAAGTGACAGCGACGAGGACGAGGCCGTTCCATTGGAGAAAGTCGGTCTCGTCACTGGATTTTTGAGGCAATTCATAGAGGAAGGTAACACTAATTAATGACTGCTAAAGCTGTAGTGCAGCTGAAGAGATGGCAGTTCTGATGAAAAATAATATACACACATCGGTGTACAAATACAAATCTATGCATGGGTTAACCGTTGATATTCCTGCAAGTTTTACTGCTCAAATTTAAGTTTTGATATAATGCAATTTGAGGTATCGCATACATAACAAATTCTCTCCCATAGCATCTCCGAAGGTGCTGCGTGACCTCTTGAAGTTCTGGGTCGGGTGGGAGCTGCTCACAACAAACCTTGAAGTTGAGGTTGTTACTTCAAAATACCCAGTGGCTCTCACCTGCTTCCTAAAATTGAAGCTCCCAAGCCACTACCAAACTTATGAGAAGTTCCACCAGGACTTGATGATGGCCCTCAGTTCCATCAGTTCAGGCTTTGGGCTTGTGTAGCTACACACTGACTCTCAGTTTGTTTTGTATTTTTCTGGAGAAGGGTTTGCCTCTCTATTCAATACACTGTGTGAGATACAGGGTTACAGTTGGTACACCTACCGTGTTTTATAAATAAAGGACATTTGGAAAAAGACTGTTTGTCCATTATCATTGTTACACTTTAACGGAGCGTCCACACAGCAGCGTGCGTTGACGCTTGGAGTTGGGCGTGTCTGAAGCTTGGGGATTTTTTGCGACCAACAACCAATCACATGAATCTCCCGCCCCCGACATACAAAGCAATAGCAATGTTAAAACGAAGTAAACTGGATATAAAATAATGAATTTTCCCTCCATTTTTTTGAATATGAGGAAATGACCTGCGTAGTCTCTCCCAGCATACACACGGTTTGATTGGCTAGCGCTTGTAATGGCAGATTTGCATAAATGGGATTTCATTGGCTGACGCTTCTGCCGAGTCGCCAAAAGTTGAACATTGCTCAACTTTTGAAGCGAGCAACGCTCTACGTCGCTTTCCAAAATGCAGTTCGGCTAAAAGTGACGTCACCCCATTCAAAGTGAATGGGCAGAAGCGTTGGAAGCTTCAACGCACACCGCTGTGTGGACGGGCCGTAACAATGCCCAATCCCTTGAACAGTAAAGCATTACACTCCGAATAGTTCTTTTACAATGTTTTTATTTTGTACAGAGTGTAAAATGAATGTAATTCTGTTGCTCTGAAACGGTTTTTGATCCTGACTGAAAATGCATCTCTAAAAACACTTCCATTAATTTATAAGTCAAAAGAAAAATGTCTAATCATGCAATTGAGATTAACTTAATCAAGCATAAGCTATGTAAATATAAAATGATTAACTTTCCATCATTGCCAAATAACTGAAATCATGACACAAATCATACTATAGTTGTTAAATGTAACAACTATCGGTGCTCAATTAAATTCTCAATGTATTGGACAGTATTGAGATATATGTCCACTCCGAAACATTCAGATTCTTCCAATGGATCAATGTTGTCTTGCAGTTGCATAATTTCAAGGTCTGAGAGAGGGAAGTTCAGCGTAGGGACATTGACCCCGGTATGATGCTCATTTGTGTATCCACTCTCTTCCCATTGAATCTCTGGTATGAGTGAACCCTAAAAAAGACAAAGTGAGTGTACAAATATTAAAGCAAGCACTGTGCCATTACTGCTTCTTATTACAAAATATGTGATCAGGCGAAATAAAGAGGGTATGCAATTGTTCTATAATAATAAAAAATGGAGTGATTGTGGAATAATGTTAAGGTAATAGTGTAATATTATAGAAAAGTGTTCTTGCTTGCTCCCAGCAGAGGTTCTTTTAATCCAAGAACGGGAGTTAGTTTATGAATCAGATAACTCATTATACTGTTTGGGTTTTTATTGATTGATAATAAACAAGAGATAGTGATGGTTTTGAAAATTCATAATTTACCTCAGGCTCAGGATCTGCAACAGGATTCAGGTGCTGGCCCACCTGCCACAACTGATTGGGTGTCAGATGTTGCTCTGTCCTGATGGGATGGTTGGCCCAGGCCTCACTGAACACATCCAGGTTGGCTTGGATGCGTGGCAAGAAAACGTAGTGGCAGCAGAAGATGTGCAGGACGTTACTGATGTCAAGCAGGTGTTGTTCCTCAAGAGAGTGCAGGGTGTTGTAAAAGACACCGTAACACTCATGAACACATCACGCCAGAGGCGTTCAATTCTGTGAGAAGAAAACACAAAAAAATGTTAAACTTAAAAGAAAATTCAAACTGTTCACTATGAACAATTTAAAGTTTCCTAGTCATTGAATCAATGGCAATGTCTCTAACTGAAAATTGCATTTATTTAAAAAAAATCAACTGACTTGACAGGAGAGTACAAACATAACATTAAGTGAGTTTTCAAATGTTTGCGTGGCTGGTAAATTTCTGTGAAAATTGTCATTTTCTTCTTTGTGAAGGAATGGTCTCAACATGTGCTTATGAAGGTTTGTTAAAGGGAATATTAAGAAGAAGAAATATGCTCATAAGCTTACAAAATTAGGTTTAACTCACCGTTGATTGTGTACGCTTTTCCCTGCAATGAAGCTGTTACTGTTAGTTCCACGAACTGAGAACATTAATTGTGCTACTCCCACATTTTCTCCACCATGATCTCCTCTCACTCTGGAAAATAAATCAAATAATTATGCATAGTTAAAATCTACGTATTTGAAGGTCCAAAAAACGAGGGGTACAATTCCATAATGATCTACATCCATAATGTGATCACAAATGGCTCTCTCTGGACATACATATTTGATATATCTGGACAGGTCCTTAACTGTAACCCTTAAGAGTTCTCTTTCACTTTATTAAACCTCGAGTTATCTTCCACACCTGAATGAGGGATGGTTCACATCAGCTTGTGAATAGATTATATTTTCATATTTCTGTACAGTACATGAATCTCAGCTGAGGGATAGAAAAATTTGACATGTCGCTTATATATTGTCATATGTGAGGGGCTCACATAGAATTAACAATTGATATGGCTGTGTCCGACAGCACTTTTGTGACCTAGAAAAGTACCGTTTATAATGGCAATTGTTTTAACTTATATGTTCAGATTGCCTCTTTGAACTAACAGTAAAGCACGACAATATTTGCAATGAATGAGTCCCATCAAAAGTAAAGTGGTCGTCACTGATGCAGCCATTGGAGGGGAACATCTAAATTTGATGGAAAGGTCCGCAATTACACTAATGATTACATATGAAATAATGTGAATACCTCAGAGGAAACCCGTGCTCGTTCACAGCTTCATTGAAGAAACACAAGTGGGTGTCAGCCCGGTTGTTGTCTGCTATCTTCAAGTACATAATCTACACATACAAGTACACATAAAACAACATATTAGTACCTTGATGAATCAGTTTAACTTGAAGCATCTGTCAAATGACAATGTGCAGCATTAAGAGAACAACGCACAACAGAATTATTCAATGTATAACAGAATATCATGATAGCTCAGGCAAGCTTCTTGACATATATTGTGCGGTTACTAGTATAAGTGTTTTAATTATTTCACAAGTTCTTCAAAGTATTTATTTTGAAATTAAGTAAATAAGTAAATGCATATTGTTTGATCTGAATCACTTCAAATATAAGGTGACTTTAGAAGTCCATATCGTCTGTTTGGTAAGAGGCGATATGTAATTAACTATAGGTTAGATTGTGTACCTAAAGATCACCACCTGTTGGTACAGAAAATAAACTGAAGCTTAGAAAAGTAAAACCATCACATGATGTTCGGCAACATTTTGCAGTTGTTGGTTCTTGACAATAGAATAGTCTTACCTTCCTTGAATAGCCATCTATTCCCCCAAAGATAACAAAGTTGTACCTGTCAATGATAGACAATGATATGATTACATACACAAGATATATACAACTAGACATTAAAAATAATAAAATGAACAGATTACATACAGACAGCATGCAGACAAACCTGATGAGCTTGTGGTTGGTGTCAATGTGCACCATGTACTTAGGGTAAGGAACTGTGTATGTTCTCCTCACCACACATCCCATCCGGGTCATCCTGGCGAGCACACCAACACTGTCCACACGATGCATGGATGCATACACCCGTTCCCATTGCACTCTGTGTCCCTTCGCAAGTAGAGCACCTCGGACTACACGGTAGCCAGCATCTGGCATTGCACTTTTTATTGTGGTGATCAATGAATCCAATTCGTCATCAGTGCAGCCACTATATGAAGCAGATATAGAAATGTCATTTTCGGTCATCCGCCTAAATAGCGTTGCTCTCTAGACACACCCAGGAGTCTGGCGATGCAACTCGATGGCAGTCCCAGTTCCACCAGATGTGTCAGAGCCTCTACTGACACATTCAATCGTGGACGCCCACGTCCACAACATTTTTGCAACTCAAGGGTCACAAATATCTGTTGATTATCTCTCTCTTGTTGGATAAGGCTATTCAGGTCTGCAAGTGCAGACTGTATATTATTCCCTAAATCAACAATGTCACCCAGTGCACTCAATATAACAAAAGCCTGACGGCACGCAAACTGTAGCCCTTCGAGATCAACAGGTGTCCTATCCAAGATGTATGTCAGTCGATCTTGAAGTCTCTGAAGGATTTCACGCTTTACTGATTCCTGGGGGGAAAATAATAGAAAAGATAGATAAAATATGACCAACAGTGCTCAACGTTCGACCGTTTGTTTACCAACACTGGTTAATCCTATTTAACATCATCTCTTAATGTTCAATTCCACCCCATCATTAAACACAATGGAATATATTTTTGAATAATAATTTGAGCAGCAAATTTTGGATTAATTCTGTCTAAATTGTCCCTAAAAAACAAAGCAACAGAATGAAAGAAGTTAAAGAAATGTTTGGCTAATGTTAGCTATGTAAGGTTATAATCCTAGGTAGTCTATTAGCATAATATAGCTAACTTGCCAGCAAACACTAGCATTACATGCCACCCATATTACTTCCATGCTAACACATCACTAACATAACAATAATTCATACCTAAAACATATTTAATCATTCACGCCGAGACACGTATAACTTACACTTGTGCTAGACGCCATGTTGAAGTTGACCTGTCAGCTCCGGAGTCCGGACTGCGCAAAAAGCGTAAATGAAGCGCTACGTCACGAACGCAAGAAATCCTACCCACGTGGGGGCGCGCTCATGTGATTGGCTTAGACTGGAGGAGACATCTGATTGGCTATAGATGAGAGAAATTACAAGTACGAATCGGGTGAGCGTCAGGGGAGTCTCAAAAAAAACCCACACACGAATGCACAGCGATCCGTGCACAGAAAGCTGTTTGTGTTTGAAGGTGCAGCGGTTTTAAACGGAAAACTAATATGTGTGGATCAAAAATACACATGTAAAACTTTTTTCTGTGTTTGGATTTTATTTACATGTATATGAAACGGAACACATTTGTGTATGCATTGAAAAACACAAGTGTGGATCCGGAAATACAAGTTTGAATCCTTTTGCGGATCATGAAATACAAGTGTGAATCCTTCTGTGTGCATGTGTGTATTATGAGACTGTTCTGAGCCCATACAAAAGAAATACAAAAATGCAA